CAATTGTTCTATGGCTTCCTGGAACCCTGGTTGGGTGAGTGATGTGTAAGAATAGGACCTGGGGTGAAGACATTGGCTAAGAGATAGAAGGTGGGATGTGTTGGTCAGGAGGACTAAGGAAAGGATATTTGTGACCTGGGGGATTGGGGCTTGAGATGAGGCCAGTATATGGGAGTCTAGGAGCCAGGCTCTGGACTATTTGAAGCAATGGAGGACTAGGATGGAGACCTTGCTTGAGAAGGGGAGGGGCAATGGGTCTTCAACATTAGTATTTGGGAAACTCAGGGACTCAAAACTCCCTCTAAGTAAAGGCCTAGGATTGGGAGCAGAGAGTCTATGGATTGAGGGCTAGGGAATTGGGGATGGGGGAGGGGCTGAGGATGTAGTGTTTAGGGATGTGGGATTGGGTTGGGGCTACGAGTTGAAAGAGGTAATGGAGGACTGAGAAGAGGGTCACACATCTGGTTCTAGGGGCTGGGAGGCTGGACTGAGGCCTAAGACTTGGACATTGATCCCTACCATTGTCTTTCTTCCAGGGGATGGGCTGCTGCTGAGTAAAGGAGACAAATGGAGCCGGCACCGGCGCATGCTGACCCCAGCTTTTCACTTTGACATCCTTAAACCTTATGTGAAGATCTTCAGCCAGAGTGCAGACATCATGCATGTAAGCCTGGAGGAGCTGACCAGGGTGGAAGGGAACCGATCCAACACTGAGCCTGCACAAAGTGAATTCCGTTCCAGACCAGTCTGGGCCTCAGGAGGCATAATGAGGACCTTAGCACCATCCATGTTTTCTTGGTTAGAGTGTAATGGGCTTAGGGCTGTGGGGCATTGCCCATGGTCACCATCATCCCAGAGCCTCTTCCAGGACCTTGCAGGTCAGTTTCCAGTCCTCATAACCTCATCTCCTCCCAATATCTTGGGAAGTATAGAGGGCAATGTTGATTATCTCCATTTTACAGAGGAGGAAGGAAGCTCTGATCCAGAAAGGTGCTGTCACTTTTCTAAGGTCACACAGTGTTTCAGTGGCAGAGCAGGGACTAGCTCTCAGTTCCTGACTCCCCACAATAGATCTTTCCATCCCGATGGCAAATTCTCAATGTGGCTCATAGCCCTGCTTTTCTCCCTGTGGCAAAGAGAGATCTCTCCCTTGTTCTTTCTGGGTACCTGAAGAGTATGAGTGGGTCAGGTCCTGGGAGAAGGTGAGTACCAACTAACTTTCTCTCTCTCTCTCTCTCTCTGTCTCTGTCTCTGTGTCTGCCTGTCTCTCTCTCTGTCTGTTTCTGTCTCTGTCTCTCTCTCACTCTCTATCCTCTCTGCCTCTCTGTGTCTCTCTTGGTCTATGTCGGTCTATCTGTCTGTCTGTATGTCTCTTTCTCTCTCTGTCTGTGTCTTTCTGTCTCTGTCTCTATCTCTTTCTCTCTCTCTCTGTCTCTTTCTCTCTCTGTCTGTGTCTTTCTGTCTCTGTCTCTATCTCTTTCTCTCTCTCTCTGTCTCTCCCTCTCTTTCCCTTCATCACTCTTTCTCAGACAAAATGGAGGCGCCTCTGTGCTGAGGGCAGCAATTACCTGGACATGTTTGAACACATCAGCCTCATGACCCTGGACAGCCTGCAGAAATGCATCTTCAGCCACAACAGCAACTGCCAGGAGTGAGTCTTAGCCTAGCTCTTGGCTCTGGGGATTCAGGACCTACAGTTGAGGAAATGACAGCCTGGGGGAATGGGGAAAGGGAGGACTCCAGAACAGAGGGGATGTGCAGTGTTGAGGACAGAATCTGGAAGGATTGGAAAGCAAGAGCAACTTCAAGCTAAAGTGGAAACTGGGGGCCACATACATGATTGCCTGGGAATGAGAGGCAGGGTAGGGCCATGGGAAGTGGGATAGATCAGGATTCAGATGACATGGGTCTAACCTCAGTCTTTTTATTTACTGCTGGTGTGACCTTAGGCAAGCTGTTTAGCTTCTCTGGGACTCAGTTTTCTCATCTATATAATGAGAGGGTTGGACTACATGACCTCTGAGGTCCCTTCTGGTTCTAAATCTGTGATCCAATATCTTTGATGCCCCTCTGAGAACTCTGGCA